ATGTTCTTCTTCAACTTCCTGTTTTGTTTTTTTTTAATGTGTATGTTTTTTCCTTTTCGTTTTTTTCTGGAAACAGGGTCTTGTTCTGTCACCCAAGCTAGAGTGCAGTGGTACAATCAGGGCTCACTGAAGCCTTGACCTGTAGCCTTGACTGTGGGGGCTCCAGTGATCCTCCTGACTCAGCCTCCCAAGTAGCTGAGACTACAGGCATGTAACAAACACCACACCTAGCTAATTTTTTTTTTTTTTTTTTTACATTTTTTGTAGAGGTGGGATCTCCTTATGTTGCCCAGCCTGAACTTCTAGTACTAAGTCTATTGTAAACATTAATCTTAAAATAAAAGGCCTTTCGTTTTCTTCTTTTTTTTTTTTATTGCATTTTAGGTTTTGGGGTACATGTGAAGAACATGCAAGATTGTTGCATAGGTACACACATGGCAGTGTGGTTTGCTACCTTCCTCCCTTTCACCTATATCTGGCGTTTCTCCCCATGCTCTCTCTCCCCAACTCCCCACTCCCCACTATCCCTCCCCCATTTCCCCCCAACTGAGGTTTTCTTCTTATCACCACTGCTCCCTCCTCCCATCACCCTCCTTCAAAATGAATGTTTTAATGATCACTGAGATGCAAGACTTAAGTACTGGAAGCCCTACAATCAACACAAACAGAGGAGGCAGATCCTTTCCGGCCTCAGCTGCCCCTGCCCTGGCTTTTTAGGTACCACAGAAAGACCACCCTGAGCATAGCTCTTTAAAGAACCTTCTTCCTGGAGGCAGGAGGAACTTTTTCCTAGGCCCTAAGCCCCAGCCAAATAGTATATTTAATTTTCTGGTATTTAACAGATGTCTATATGGATACTGAGTCAGTATTGATATGGAGGCAAACAAATTGGGCTTTTGGAACCACAAATGTGACAAGACAGAGAAGATCCCTGCATTCTGATGGGGAGAGACAAAGAATAGAAAAGGTCATTTTAAAAGGGTGATTACAAGTGAAGAGGGACTTGAACTGGGTTGTATGTGTTCAACCTGAGATGAGGGGTCACAGAAGGTCTCTGCGGGGGTAACATACCAGCTGAGTTTGCAGAAGAAAAGAGCCCGTTTATGCAGCAGTTCAGGAGGAGAATGTTCCAGGGTTGAGAACAGCAAGCACAGATGTCCCAAAGAGGCAGAGTTTTGTCTGTTTGATGAGCAGAAAAGCCTTCCCTGCCTCCAGTCCATTTGTTAAATGCTGTCAGAAAATTATGCTCCTTTTCTCCAAAGCACTTCCCTTGGTTCATAAAATATTTGTTACTATTACGTTTAGTTAATGTCTACCACTCCCAATACATTTTAGTAAATATTTATTGTTTACTGTGTTCCCAGTACTGAGCTTGTAACAGTGAGCAAAACAAAGTCCCTGCTTATCTTCCTGCATGTACATGTGTGTAAACAAATAGTGAAAAAAGGATCAAGAAAATAGGAACGGTTTGTGATTGCCTACAAGTGTTATAGCACCAGACATTCAAGACTGATATTCGTTGAATGAATGTTCCTAAGGAAAGAAACGCAACGTACAAACTGTACACGTAAGAGGATCCTAAATATAATTTTGGACATACATACACCTGAAGTGCATATAAAGTCAGAAGGAAATAGTCCAAAATATTAAAAATAGTTGTCCTTTGATTCTGTTCGTTTTCTTCAATAAGTATATATTTCTTAGCTTTTTTTTTTTTTTTTTTTCCTAGATAGGGTCTCACTCTGTCACCCAGGCTGGAGCGCAGCGCATGATCACGGCTCATTGCAGTCTTCACCTCCTAAGCTCAAGTGATTCTCTCACCTCAGCCTCCAGAGTAGCTGGGACCACAGGCATACACCACCATGCCCATCTAATTTTTGCATTTTTTGTGGACATGGGGTTTTGCTTGCCCAACTCCTGGGCTCAAGCAATTACCCTACTTGGGCCTCCCAAAGTGCTGGGATCACAGGCATGAGCCACTGCGCCTGGCCTAGTATGCATTTTTAATAGTATTATTCCATTCAATGAAATACAAAACAAATTTAGTGGGATGGGCTTCAGCTTTAGTTTCTGAGCTGTAGGGGAAACCAGACTAACATAATTTCCTTTCCTTTGTTAGGATACTAATTTCTCAATAGGTTTGGTTACCAGTGTTTTTTAGGTTTCTTCACATCTCTCAAATATGACTCAAACTAATGAAAAGAAGGAAAATGATGTCAAAAAGCCATTAGGTAATGGAATCAGATAGTGAATATATTGGTTGGGAACAGGAATATGACTCCATGACCCACCCAAGCCCCAAAAAAGCAGCTAGTTAAAAATCAAGACCAATAGGATCTCAGGCAACACGGAGACTGTTCACAGAAGGCACAAAACGCATGGCGCGCCCTTACCACCCTCTCTAACCCCAGGCACTGAGAGCCTGCTCTCACCCAACATGCCCCCCTAGCCCCAGAGTCCACGGTCACTCCATTCAAAGCAAACAGTGAGGGGTCTTGCCCACCGTGAACTCTGCAGGGCAGGCCACTTGCACACAGCACGCTCTCAACAACACCAGGCCAGGTCCCTGGTCGCCCAGCACAGCCCATGCCAGCCCAGCCTACGGGGCACAGCGGACGGACGCACTGCAGCACTTTTCGCGGATACCGCCGAAGCGCTAAGGAACACCCAGCTCACCAAGGCGCCAACTGCCCCGCCCAGGGAACACAGGTTAAACTCTCACCGCCGGCACAGCACGGGCCCTGGCAACACTCCCACGCAGCCGTGCACTCCAAAGCAAGCCCTTACCCGGGGCACCCAGTCCGCGCTCCCCTTGCCGACTGGACTCAATCCCGAAAACAAGGTGCACGCTTTTGTTGGGGGTGCAGCCAGACCCTCCGTAAATCCGGGCTGCGCACATCACTCCAGCAAACAAGCTTCACCTCGGGCTCTAAGTGGTCCCCGCATCCCCCGCCACACACCCCAGGGATCTGCGCACTGCGCCCTTCGGAGAACCCTGGCCTCTCCCTCTACCCCAAGCAGGCAGGACCTACGGTCAGCCCCGCCCCGTGCCTCCAGCCCAGCTGATCCAGCAGAGTTCTGGCTTCACAGCTGACGCGCGAACCCGCCCCGCGATCCTACCAGAGCGAGAGGACAGCAGCAACGCCAGGGCCGCCAGAAGCAACCCAGGAAAACGCCGGGAAGGAGAGGGACACTCGCAGCGGCTGGGAGGCGCCATGCGCGTCGCTGAAGTCGCCGTAATTTATCCGGAGGTGAGCAGAGAAACCGGGAGCCAGCTGAGCAGGGAAGTCCGCTTACAGGACGCAACAATCCCCAAACTCACAAAGTGCCCACAGCCGCACAGCGGGTGGGCGTGGCCTGAGCTGCGCCCGAGGCGGAAGTGAGTAGAGGCACGGGGGCGGTGGGGCCAATCGGCGGACCGCTGGGCGGGACCTTGGCGCTCCGGGGCGGCCCGTTGGCCTCCTGGAGATAGGGCGTGGCCATGGCGGGGAGTAAACCTGTAGGCTCACCGGGACCCGCCTCTTTTCTTGCTAAACCCTGAGCCCGCTGTCCTGGAAACCTGAGTCGGTCTGCGAGAAAGGGCTGGATCACCGCCTAGTTTGTGACCCAGGAAGGGTGGAAAGAAAACTAAGCTGCCCTAGTACTGTTTCCAGGAACTCGGGACTCAAGAATAAAGCCCTTCGACCTAAAAATAGAGATCCAGAGGCCAGGGCGGGCGTCACTGTGGGCCAGCACCCCTCAGGGTTAATTTCATCCTGGGGCACTGCAGGCTGTCCGGACTGCCTGGAGCCTTACTCGGTATTTGCCGTTAGACATTATTAGGAACAATATTTGAGTTTTTCTTGCTTGAATGCCTGCTACTGAATCGTCTCAGGGCCGTCTTGTTTTCACAGTCTCAAAGGTTTGGCTCGTGCACTCCCAGCCCCTAAGGTAATTTGCTCTTTGCTCTCCTCCCTGGAGAGGTCCCCCGTTGGAATCTAAATTATTAAGGGACATCAGGCACGTAGCAAATTGGGACTCTATGGGGCTCTTGACCTTGAGCGAGTAAATGTTCTATTGAAGACGAAATACACATGCATGAACAATGTAAGGACAACGGTGTCCTAAGTGCCAAATTCCTGGAAGCAATAAATGCAGGAGGATTGGGATGGGTAGAAATTGTTAGGTGAAGCGGATAAGGGGGAGAACTTTTCTTTTTTGTGAAACAGTCTCAGGAACAATGCTGAAAAATTAAAAATGAGCAGGATTGATTTGTAGCGTTGTGAGTAAACTAGTGTGACTGGGAAAAAGGGAAAAAAGGGACGTGACTGGCATTAAAAGATTAAACAAAAAGAGTTGACATTTCTTCCTCTCAGATTGGCAGAGAATTAAAACGTCAGCCAATGTGAATGAACGTGTTGCAGGGGGACCAGCACTCTGGTTTTAACATAACTTTTCAGTAAGTTAAAAGTCTTAAAGTGGACATGACTTCTGTTAGGCTGTCAGTTCCCAGAGAAATCATCAGAGCTGTGATCAAAGATTTATAATTTTGGAAAAAATGTAAACCCTAAGTGTCTAGCAAAAGTAATAAGGAATTTCTGGTAGTTACCTTGGTGTGATGGAATTCTATGCAGTGACTGTTGTAAAAGAATACCAAATACGAGAAACTATGATATAATTGTCAGTGGAAAAAGCAGAGTCCAAATTGGCATGTGCCTTATTGGCATTTCTTTTATTAAAAAAATGTACCATATTGATATATATATATAAAGCAGCTAGGAATACAGCAAAATTAACAATGGTTGAAAAGATTATAGATATTTCACTTTCCTTGTGCTTTTCAGTTTTCTGCTTTCTATGTTGACCTTATTTTCTTTGGGAGGCCGAGGCGGGTGGATCACGAGGTCAAGAGATCGAGACCATCCTGGTCAACATGGTGAAACCCCGTCTCTACTAAAAATACAAAAAATTAGCTGGGCATGGTGGCGCGTGCCTGTAATCCCAGCTACTCAGGAGGTTGAGGCAGGAGAATTGCCTGAACCCAGGAGGCGGAGGTTGCGGTGAGCTGAGACCGCGCCATTGCACTCCAGCCTGGGTAACAAGAGCGAAACTCCGTCTCAAAAAAAAAAAAAAAAAAAGAAAAAGAATAAGGTAAAGTAAATTTATTTAAAAAATCAAACCTATGTATCAAGGGTTGTTTTGGTCATAGAATTATGGGAGTAGAACTTGTGTTACCCAGGGTTAACATGAGAGAGAGGACGATGAGGAACTGGATGCTCAGTGTATGCACCTAAAATGGGTCTTATAGAATTATAGAGTTTAAATGTATTTAACACAGTTCTATAACCGAGATGTACTGAAGACTCTCTGGGTTCACCAAACCATGGAATTTTCTCTTCCTGTCAGACCAACAAAAATTTTAAAATTCTTGGCAGAGATTATAAGACATTAAGTGTGGTGGTATGTCAAATGAACATTTTAGTATCTTGGATTATAAAATTCAGACACTCCATGACTGCAATTAAAAGAAGTATAATTGAAGAGATGGTAAATAGGAAACCCAATGAGGGTAAATTATTACTTCTGTTAATGTATGGTGTGAAAGAGTGATATGACAGACATATTCTGTGGCTCAGTTCTGGCACTCATTTGTGAAAGTGCATAGTTTATTTATTGTTCTTTGCAATAATAAATATTAAAAATTCTCCATCTATTTTCAGGCTTTGAAGAAAGATGTCTTTTTTTCTCATGAGAAGTTTTATTATAAACTATAGAGGGAAAAATCGTGTTTGATCTCCTAGTTTCAGGTGTCAGATTAGATTCAAAGATTGGTATTTTATTGAAACTTTCTTCTAATCAGTAAAATTTGTATCCCTGGGGTTAATCAAGCCATTATTAACATACTGGAAAACTTCCACATTAAATATTTAAAACATTTTTATTTGAATCAACTGAGGCTTCATTTGAATGGTTCTGAGACTGGTTCCCTACTTTTTGGATAAGTTTCATGAGTCAGGGATAGAGTTTTCTTACATCTACAATGCCAAAATCTGTAGTAGGTGCACAATGAATAGCTGGTAAATATTGGATGAAATAAATGGTTCTTGTGGTCAAGTGCATTTAACATGTCTCTGCCAGTTTTCCCCCAGCATGAATTTACTAAATGCCCAGAAAGTTCTTAGAGATTTTGATTTAAATAATTTTAGACCCTAAGAAACAAATCCAGATCTCTCTGTAAAAGGGATGAGCTACAACTGTCTGCACGACAAACTTTCCTAAATCAGGTGTTGCAGGCTTACTTGTGAAGTGGACCTGTGGTCTGTCCCTTAGCCTTGAGATCATTTTAGTGACTGAGTTCAAATGGAGGGTGTGGACAATGAACTTCCTGAGGCCTTAACAGGGGTAAAAATTAAAGTCAAGGCTTTGAATGAAGCAGGAGATTAAACATTAATGTTTCCTCCAACTGCCCCTAACGATTTTGTCAAACTGCCAAAGAGGAGAAAAGGAGAGAATGGAGGATATGTGTGTTTGTGGACCAGGTTTAGAACTGTGTGATCTCCTTTAAGGGCCTTATGAAGGCCAGTGTGGGTGGAGGTTGGTGTGCGAGGATGTCATTGAACTGTGGCCAACTCTTTTAAAATTTGATGTTAGATGGTTCTTTGCCTCCTAATTAGCATAATGTACTTATGGTATGTTTTTCAGGAGCAGGCGTAGCAGCATGAATGGGCCTCTATTTGTGCCTCCTAAGCACCTGCAGCCAACTGACCTTTATGTTTAGCTGTGTCTGAGTCTCTTTCCTGTTACCATCAAGAGCATTTCATGGCATTACACACCAACACAGGGATTTGTGAAAACACTCAGGTACAGACAGAAGTGCATTTCTCAGAAGGAATGGATAGTACTTTTTTTCCTCTTGGCTTTTGAAGGCTTTGAAGGCATAAGTATATTACAAACTATATTCCATAAGTAGATTTGGAAAATAAGGTATTTTATTCCTTTCTCATTGTAATGGTAAGAGAAAATTTTATTTAAGCGTCATAAAATTTACACACTTAGGCTAACTAAAAAAGCAAACAAAACAAAGAATGTTAAGGCTAGGAATAGCTTCAGAGAGCAATTGGTGTCCAGCCCCTTCTGATAAGGCTCTGATGTGTGGAGGAACACCAGGTCCTTCGCCTCGCATCGAGTTGGATAAAATGATGGGGACACACGTGGAGTGGTTTCAAGGAGTGCAGAGTTTAACAGGCAAGAAAGGAGGGAGAAGAAAGAAGGAAAAAGCTCCCCTGTACAGAGATGGAAGGAGGGCAACTCCAGAGCCTAGAGAGAGGAGAACCCAAGTGGGGCAGAAACCAGCCAGGTATATGTAGAGGCTGGAGGAAGTGGTGCCTGATTTGCATAGGGCTTAGCAGATTTGTTTCACTAGACATGCCATTCACCCAGCCCATGAAAAAACTAGCCTTCCTACTCTAGCCTTTTAATATGCAAATGCAGGGCACCATGATGTTCTATGCACATGGGGTTATGTGGGGTCATGTTGCCAGGCACCTGTGGAAGTAAGGGCAAAAGGACAAGGATGGGAATCACCATGTTGGGTGGAACCAGTTTCTAGTGGCCTGTATTTGTATATCAAATGTTGCCCGCCTGGCTCCAAGGGCAGGGGCTTTCCTTCTAGACAAGAAATATATCTGGAGCTGCTTTAAAAGAAACAAAAACTTTCCAAGGACCCCTCTTCCTCTTTATCTGCCTAAAATAGTTTCTTGGCCAGGCGGGGTGGCTCATGCCTGTAATCCCATCACTTTGGGAGGCCGAGGCAGGCAGATCACCTGAGGTCAGGAGTTCAAGACCAGCCTGGCCAACATGGTGAAATCCCATCCCTAATAAAAATACAAAAATTAGCAGGGTGTTGTGGCGGGTGTCTGTAATCCCAGCTACTCAGGAGGCTGAGGTAGGAGAATGGCTTGAATCTAGGAGGCAGAGGTTGCAGTGAACCGAGATCACACCATTGCACTACAGCCTGGGCAACAAGAGTGAAACTCTGTCTCAAAAAATAAAAAGAAAGACTTTCTGAAAAAAAAAAAAAAAAAAAAAAAAAAAAAAAAA